GTCCAAATTATTGACCAGAACCCAAGCAAGATGCACCTGTTTTCTTGGGACCTTAGGGTTGCTGGCCTCTTGTTTTCCCAGCCTGTCTTCTGGGGGAGGGCCCTGCCGTGCTATTACTCAGGTAACCCTGTTTGGGCGGAGTTGCCCTGCGCCCCTGTGGCGGGGGATGGGCTCAGTGGGAATCAGTCTTTGGGGCTTTTTTTCTCTGGCACCTTTCCCTGGTGGCTTTCCGCATCTCTTCCACAAGTCAGAGCATAAGAGACCGTTTCCAACCCTCTGCCTCAGAGCAGAGAGACCGCAGTCTGTTCTTCAGTGAGCTCTCCAGGCCACACTGTCTCCGTTTCTGTCCGTGCTGTTATAAACTGCAGCGTCCTGGGTTGTGCGCCCCTCCGCAGTGCTCCCAATCCTGCCTCCAGTTTGGGGCACGTCTCTGCCCTTTGTGCTTCTAAAACCACCAGCCGCTCCCAGTTCGCGCGCGCGACCCCACCACTCCAGGTTTCTGTCCTGGGGACTGGAGTTCGCGTGTGCTCGACTCCGACGCTTGGGGTTTCTACCCTGGGGGTTGCAGTTCACCGGCGCGACCCCAGCGCACCGGGTTTCTGTCTCGGAGGCTGCAGTTCGTGTGCGCGTGACCGTCGCTCTGGGTTTCTGTCTGGGGGGCTGTGGTTCTCGTGCGCGCAACCCCGCCGGTCTGGTTTTCCACCCAGGGGGCTGCCCTAAAGTCTTTTCCCGATGCTACTGGTCTGCGAGTCTGTGCCCCGTCCGCAGCGCGCGCGAGGCTGTCACTCACTGGCGGTGTAGGATCCGCATGTCCAGGCACCCTCCCGCTGCCGTTTATCCTCCAATATCTGCCCGTAGAATCACGGCTCTCCACTTCGTACCTCAAAACCAACTGCCTGCGATATTCTGTTTGTAGAGATCCAGATCTTCTTACATCTCAGGCTGGTTTTGTGGGTGCTCAGAGTGGTCTGGTAGATATCCAGCTCAATTCCGGGGACCAGTTGAAATAGGGTCCTCTACTGCTCTGCCATCTTTCCCCCCTCCTCTTCCCAAAGTTTCATCTTTTTAAAGCATCAGCTTTAAGTTCTGGATCTTGTCATCTACGTCAAGTCTAGATGTGGATGGGGCTCTTCAGGCACAGCTCCTCCTCATCTGATGACCTATGACCTAGATAGACAAGTCATCTCCCACTCAACACCCAGCATACCATGATGATGCACAGATAGGAAAACTGCAGCAGACACTCCCAGCCAAAAGATGCTGGGGTGGTAACGGACAGCATGTAGAAATCACTGGTCTACTGAAACTATGAAATCTATATCTGAGCACATTTTATCATACCCCCTGACTCAGAGGGCAGAGCATGATTTTGATTAGGACCCAGTTCTGCTCTCATGAGCCAATCCATTGTTTTTCTCAATTCTTATCTCTGCCCTCTGACTCTATGAGTCATCTTCTGTTTTCCTAATAAATGGCCTATGTTTGTCCCTGAGTAGCTTTCTTAGCCTAATTCCTGACTATGCTGGGTTGGGGGCCAAGAGGCATTTGTTTCCATTGTGAAGTCTCTCTTTCCCTTTTACTCCAAGCTGACAGTTGACATTGATGACTTTCTATAAATGTTATACAGGTTCACGCCCCCAAACTCATATCCTTTGGAAACAGATCTCTACTTCAAGAAATTTAGAATTCTGGGAAGAATGTCCTTCATCTTCTTAGAAGCCCTTTGCCTGTCTAAGAGGAGCATCTACAAGCCACCATCTTAACTTTTTCTGAGGTCTTAACAAAGGATCTTACAGCTGCATCCTTGATTAGATCCTACCCTTTGACCTTGAGGTCATATTTTATAGCACCCTGGATTTGATTCCCCGCCCCCCCCGAGGTCATTTACTTCTGACATTTTTTGGCCAGCTGGAGAGACTCTTCTGAGCCTTCTATATTTCCTTTAAGTTCTGCTTGAAAATTAAAGAGTTTCTTTTTTACCTCCATTTTCTTACAATATCTCATCATACATGATTATACTTAAAGCAAATGACACCTAACATTCTTTCAGGAAATTTTCTCAACAACCTTCACAGTCTTACTCGGTACATTTCCTATCTATCATGTTATTTTGGGTGACATTGTTACCAAAATTTTGCTGTTCTTTCTGTACCCAATGGCGGTTTTCTTCACTGTTTTTCCAGCATCTAGTAAGAGTCTCCATGCAACCCGTCTAGCCTCTGCCTACTACCCATTCCAAGGAGAAAGCCGCTTTTGTTATGATAGCAACCCACTTCCAGGACCACATTTTGTATCAAGTATCCCTTTCCACAAAACAAACCATTCTGGAACTTACTGATCTAAAACAACAACAATATATTATTTATCAAGATTTTGTGGGTTGGCTGGTCTCAGCAAGGTAATTCTTCTGTTCCATACCATGTTGACTGTGGCTATTCATTGCAGTACATTCATTAGGGAGCTTGATTGAGAGCTGGAATGTCCAAAATTACTTTACCTGCATGACTGTTGTCTCACTTATGTGACTGGAGCAGCTGAGAGCTGGCTGGACCTCCTCCCCAGCAAGCTACTCTGACTCTTTATATGATGATGTAGGGCTCCAAGACAGTGAAAGTTGAAACTATCAATCCTCTTAAAGGCTAGGCCTGAAACCAGCAAATTGTCACCTCTGTGGCATTCAATTTACCAAATCCAGTCATAGACCAGCCCAGATTCAAAAGGAAGAGGAAGAGACTCCATTTTTTATTGAGAGGAGCAATATGAATATACAGTAAGGGAAGGAAATGTTAATAGTTGTGTTAAAGAAAAATCTACCACAATTGCAGATCATGATCATTGCTTTAAAGGAAATATAATGGAGCAGTGAGAAAGAAGGATTAGAACTCACCAATTTAGATAGCTTGAATTGGGGGTGGGGGGAGACTCTCTGAGTGCTGAAGAATAAGAATAAACTGATCATATAATAGTAGGAGAAGAGCTGAGAAAAAAGCACAGATCAATAAAGTGGCCTTTCTAGAAACTAAGGAGAGACAAAATATTAACTTTGAATAGGGTTGTGATAGTGGAGATGAAGTGGTAGAAACAGAATTAGTATTTATTAAGGAGACAAAATTGACGATATTGATCAAAGTGTACATAGGGTTTGAGGGAGAGGAGTAGCAAACACAATGCTTCATTTTCTGTTTTAAGGAACTGTACTGATAACATCCCATTTACTGAGATAGAAAATACTGTTTTCTTTCCTTCATGTATTTTCTTTTTAATTGCCTTGTTAGCTGGAGAGAGGGACATAAGATCATGAGTTTACTTTTGAAAATGTTAAATCTGAGGGACCTTTGAAACACTGGGATGGAAATATCCAGTAAGCAATTAGTTTGTGAATACAGAACCACAGAAAATGTCTGGCAGAGGATATAAATTTTAGAGTCATCAGAAATTATACGTAATTGGAAAAATTCTAGATGAATTTTATATCATTTTAAAAATTTCATTCATTCTCTTGACAAGTACCTATAATAACCTATATTAGTCCATAAAAATAGAGCAGTTTTTAATTAAATGTATTTAATGATTTCCTTTTTATCTCAAATGGATTATAATTATTAGCCCCTTATCATAATTTTAGCACTTTTTTTTCTATTTTTTAAATAAGGATTCAAGTAATATACAAATTACTGAGACGACAGGCAGGCAATGATAGTGAAACAGAACTGTTGGTTGTCCATCAATAGCACCATGAAGGCATTCAAAATGCTTATTGGTTATCTCATATATGAGAGCCCAAAGTTATAGTGGACAGGGCATGCCCTAATCTAAAAAGTACAAAGTGTTAACTATAAAATGTGTGAAGGTTGAAGTGATCCTGTATACAATACTGTATAAGATCAAAATGTCATTTCGAATATGTCTGACTTATTTAGCGATGTGTGGATGCCTGAAGAGCCTTTTAGACAAAATGAAGAAGGTAGTTCACTACGCTTTACACAAAATCAATTTCAGGGAGCTTAAATATAAAATATTTCAATATGAAAACATAAAAATGCCAGAGGAATATTTGCTTAATTCTAGAACAGAGAGGCCAAAAATGCCATAAAAGCCAGATGCCATAATGAAAGAGCTGATGGATTATAGTGCATGTAAATCCAATGCTCTGTATTAAAATAAAGCATGTGTGCGCACGCGCACACACACACACACATCCACAAAGGCAAAGAGAGAAAAATCTTTACAACACACGACACAAAAAGGCTAACATCAAAACATATTAAGACTGCTTAGAAGTCAGTAAAGCAACAGATGACCATCCTCATAGAGAAGATAGAAATGGAAAGACGAATTCCTTCATTCCTCAAAAAGGAAAAGAAAATGGTCAAAACACAAAAATTGTTCAGTCTCACTAGGAATCAAAATTGTAGGAAGGAAAAGCAAAAAGGAAATAATCGGAACATATAAAAAGTGTTCAATCTCACTATGAACCAAAATTGTAAAATAAAACAAGAAAACAATTTAGCCTACTTAAAAATCATTTTGTTTTAAGTACGCATTTTCCAGTGTTCCACAAAATAGTTGACCTGGACCCTACTTGTGGAAATGTAAGCTTCACAGAACAAAAACATCATCAGAAACAATCCTTTCTGCTTCTATTTGAACTCACACTTCCAATTCTGAGAATTAACAGAATAATAATTATAAAGTGCACCAGACTTGTGCACAAAATAATGGTCATATGCAATAATAACAAATATGGAATACTTTCCTAAAAGATAGGAAATCTTTTAAACAATGTTAGGACATATACATAAAAATATCAGGCAAGATATATTCCAAAATATTCTCCGAGATTAACGCTGGTTTTTAAGATTGCTTTTTCTTTTCTTTTTGCTTATTATTATTTCCTAATTTTTCTATGAATGTTGCAAAGCTTATTTTCTTCCGTTTAAAAAATGCATGCATATTTCAAGGATTAATTTAGAGCTCATGAACCTTACAGATACACTTACTCTCCCAGAAAAACAATCTCGATGTTGATTTCCCCTGACTTATGGTGGAGAAAATTCCTCAGGAATGCAGTCACGCTGTCAACTGTAATGTTTCCACAGACCACGATGAACCTAGGGAACAAGACTATGTGAGGTGGCTCATCTGAGGAACAGAAGTATCTTCCTGTCAAGATTTAGAGATGGACAATTTGCTTAAACCTAGTTTTAAATCAATCTGGTATTTGAACTACCCAGATTTTAAAAATAGAAACACTGAAGATTGCATCTCCAATAAAGAGAAGAAACATCAAATTTCTGTAGTCCCAATTCATCCCATGTTGGGTATGAATCCAAACATTTGAATTACACATAGCTTTTCAGGAATACAATAATAACTATCATAAGCATTATGTTTTTCATAGTTATTATAACATTATAAGGGACTGGCGCCTGTGTTATTTCACTTGATTTTTTTCACCTGATTCCTGATTGATCTAGTCTTTTTTCAAAGGAAAAACAGAGGCTCAGCATGGTTCACTGATTTTCTCAAACAGTATGGCAGGGTGGTAATATATTCTAGGTTATTTTGGTTTTTCTTCCACATCAAAAATTATCTAGTCCTTACAAAAAAGTGAGTCTAATGGAGAGACATCTGGGACAGGTGCAAAAATCGATGCACGTAACTTTTACAGTGAAAAATAGCTGTCAATTTCCTTGAGTTTCATGCATTTAAAGAAGCTATTTTTCCCTCTATTACTCATTTAAGGAAACCGAAAGTGTACTTTCAGCTTAATTTAACCTTAAATTTTCCAGACCTTTTGGGCTACTTTGGCATGTGTTCCGCATTCCTTTCCTGTGATAAATTGGATCAGACTTTGGCTTATCTAGTTCATTTCATTGTTTTCAATATTTGTTTTTCACTCATTTTATTATTATTATTATTATTATTTTACTTTCTCCTTTGGACTCCTAGGTCAATCTCTTTCGGACTCCTAGGTCAATCCTTCTTCCAATTGTGCTGAGACCACTCCAAGACAGTTTGTCTTCACTGTACCTGTTTCCTCTATAGCAGATGGAGACTAAATAAAAAATTATTGCTTCAAATTTAAGATCTCCAATCCATTCTCTCCTTCTTAGATGTGAAAACCATAATGGAAACTGAAGTAACACATCACAGAGAAATAGGGTAAAAAAACAACACTAACTCTGTCTCCCATCTGGAACAGGTATCTGTGACATGGACAAAACAGGTGATCTATGAAGTGTTGTAGAAGATGTGGAAATTGCTCTTCCCCCTAGCAAACCTCTGCCTGTGAATGAGCTCCCATATGGCGTAGGGAGATTTGAATCAACACAGCAGAATTGAAGTCATTATTTTAAATTTGAACTGTGGTTTTAATTTGATCCATTATGTGAAGTTAGCCATAAGTTAACCGTACGATTAAAATGAATAGGACAGTTAGGAATAGATGTAAGAGTTAGTGGTAAGAGATGTAGAAATATTGCTACAATCAATACTTGACAAGGAATGACAACATTATCTGTCATTTTAGTTGACTTACTAAGGGCTAAGCATCTATATAGCAGTGATTATCAAATAGCAAATATTTTCTTATGGTATTTATTTTAGTGGAACCCTCTCAGCTGAATGAAGGACTTGCCAATATATTTACCTACTCCAGGTGATAGGTGTTTAGAAAGGGATATGTGACTAGTAGGATTCCTCAAACTATGGAAATTGTACCTGAAAGCTGTACTTACTTCTTCCCTTTGACTACTTCATAGGAACTGGTATATTTCCTCTTGTTAGCAAAAAGTTCCACCATTTCAGGGACATAATTTGCAAATAGGATCTAAAATGATCAGCAAATAAAATCTTAGGTGTCTTTATTTTCAAGGGTAGTCCAAAATTCTGATTATAAAGGAGAAAGAAGGTACATAAAACTTTCTCTTATCTAGGAGGGGTGTGACTGTGAACTGTTTTTAAAAGGCAGACCATTTTTTCTTCCTTACTTCAACCTTTGGATTTGGTTTAAATTCAATAAAATGCCTTGCAACATTCAAAAATGATGAAAGCAAAGACAAGCAGTAAGGCAACCTTCCTGCCCATTTTGTCCTGTAGTCACATCTAACTGCCTTTCAGACTCTTTGAGTTGGTACTACTTGAGGCCTTAGAAAAAAATAAAGCATGTGGGACAGAAAGGGGCTCAGGAAAAATGAATGAAATGAGGGGATGTAACAATATGGACAGAGGAATATCAGTAAGGTAGAATTCTGTTAATGGTTTTTAAGGGATTGAAATTAAAGTCACTAAAAGAAAAGATTTCCTTTGTCCATGACACACTCCTGAACCAAGTACAGATGTTCACATATCTGAAATAGAATGCTAGTTCAGAGAGAGCTTATTCATTTGGTCTGGAAAGAACAGAATTTTCTTCAAATCAAATCTCAAATGCCCTTCTTTCTCTTTGGAAGAAAGACTTTAGTCTGATGGCCAAAGATAAAGGAATATAGGGTCGCTCAATTCAATGTAGAGGCTAATAAGGAAAGTCTGCTCTCCTTCATCTGCCATCCTCATCCTTGGCAATCAAGCAATTACGTCATGAGCCCTAGGGGATGCAGTTTGGAAAATATGGGCTCTAAATATCTTTCCATTTTCATTTGACACCTGCTCTGAACAATGCAACATTCAATCTCAAACCTATATTGTTTTATTTCTCACCATTAACTACATGTTTTTGGTTTATGTAGCTATATTCAAAGATATTAAAAATATTCTTCACCAAACTCCCCAGAGTGAAAAACATGATGAAGGTCCGTCCTAGGGATGTCTTGGCTACCACATCTCCAAAGCCAACAGTTGACGTTGTTGCCATGACCAGGTAAATAGACTCAAAATATGATATATTCTGTGAATTTCTACCTTTGAGCCAGGGATCACCAGAATTTTCCACCTGTCCAAAGAGAGAAGATTCAGGAAAGTTCTCTAAATGGAATCCAAGGGCAAGTTTATAAAGAATAGACAAAACACTAGACTAGTTTCACTTAATTCAATCCAAACGAAGTATTGTGATTCCCAGGTTGCACTAAAGGGTTTGCGAAGTGTGGATAGTGATTGTGAAGTCTTGTATTCCTTCATTGTGATTACTGCTGAACTCTGTGGTGACATGTAGCTTGAGCCCACATTTGGAGTGCTCCACTGGGGGACTGGTTGCCCATATCCCTTTCTCTTCGTTTGGGCAAATCACAGCATCCAAGAGTCATGAGACTCCAAAGGCTCTCAGATCGAGCAATTATTATTTATTATCATTTTCCACTAGCTCAGGATTATCATTAAAAAAGAAGCACTTAAAAAAAAAGAAGAAGCACTTACATGAGCACTTCATTTCAATGAGCTTAAGCACATGAAGGCTAGAGTCTAAGGAAAAGCAAACAAAAAATTTTTCCAGGTTATTTTCCACCTCCAAAAAAAAAATCTTTTCCGTGATTAAAAAAAACTCTGAAGAATATTTCCTCTGATTTCTCCTTAAGTCTTCACATTTTAAGAAAACTAAATTTATTAGATTATCTTTTTTATATTAAATAAAATGAGTAACTTAGGCAATGACACTATACTTCATATTTATAGTATATACATAAACTTATAAATATGATATATATCATACATAATAATAACTATATAATGTATACAACTTTCCATTTTCCATTTTTAGATTTTTTTCCAAATAGCTTACATATTTCCTATGTTTTCCATTTCTATTTAGCACAAAAATGATAAAATGTTAGAGATGCCTGAGGAAAATAGTTTTTTTTGTTTCAGTGTTAAGAACTGAAACAGAAATTAGAAATAACATTGTTCATTCAGGTATTTGATCACTTCTTAAAAGTGACCTTAAGGTTTTTTTTTTTAAGATTTTATTTATTTATTTGAGAGAGAGAGAGCAAGCAGGAATGGGGGAGGGGCAGAGGGAGATGGAGAAGCAGAGTCCCCACTCAGTGGGGACCCCCACGTGGGGCTTGATCCCAGGACCCTGAGATCATGACCTGAACTGAAGTGAGATGCTTAATTGACTTAGCCATGCAGGCGCCCCTAAAAGTGACCTTTTCTTAAGTTTGATGAGTAGGTTAAGGGTATGGACTCCTAGAATACCTACACCAAAATAAGAAAGGGATCATACATCTATATTTAACTCTCATGGCTGGCAGTGGATTTTGTTGCAAAGTCTACTAATCTGCTTCCACTAACTTCTGTAGTCTTCACTGTTTTCTGAGACTAGTATATTATAAGAAAACCAGTTTAAACCATACAGATTAAGTCATATATATGTATTTGAGTCATATATATCTCCCCAGGATTAAAAGAGTTGCTTGAGATAGTTTCAAGCTAAAACCCCATAGTGTCTTTTATAGCGTCATCTCAGGACAGGGATTCAATTCTATCCTGGCACATTTTATATAAACGAAAACTAAATTTATTTCAACCTGGAAATCTCCTTCAGTGAAAGTTAAATCACGCTTTAAGGTTTAGCTCACTCTCTTTGGGAGTATTTAGTGTTTCATCCTCCTCCCCTCTCTCCCTCCCAGCACCTCTCTCAGATTCGGCAGCCTCCTGCTGGCCTACTTGTCCACTCTGCTCTTCCTTCTAACCATGTGAGCATAGACGCATCAGTCCCAGATGGGAAATATTAAGGTAAAGGATTATGGACCAATGTCAAGATACTGAATTATTTTCTATTTTTAACTCCATCTTTCAAAACTGAAATGCTGTTTTAAAACTTCACATCGTTTGAATAAAAAATGCTATAAAGGAGGACACAAGAATGCTCTCCCATCTCTTTACCTCCCCACCATTTGCACAAGTTATGTTATCTTTATATTGTACATGTGCATGAAGTCTGCAACCGTAATTCCCTCAGTTATATCTTAGTCTATTTCTAATTCATTCAATAATCACCACCTCTACTTTATATCATGGTTTCCTCTTTCCTGAGCTCCTGGTTTTGATTCATCTCCTATGGGGCTGGATTTTATATCAAGATACATTTTTAAAAGGGACCCATGGGTGCTATTTTCTCTCGAGTACTTAAAATGGCAGGATAGGCTATACTTTCGCACAACTTTGCAGACCCTACTCTGTCACCTTTGGTATTGATTGATGTTGACAAGAAATTTGAGGCTGGTTTCATGACTCCCTCTTATATAGACTTTGCTTTCTTCTGCTTGGATTCTCTCTTTATTCTTAAAGGTCAGTAAACTGCTCCAGAATATGATTGGAATATATAATTCAGGGTCATTTTCCCTGGGATACAGTGTATCATCTAACCCACAGATTTTATTTTTTATTTATATGTTTTTATATATATTTATATATAAAATATATTTTTATATATTTATATATATTTATATTTTTATTTTAAAGCATTTTTCATGTCCTTTTCTTCAGGAACACTAATTTTATAGTTTGTTCAATTGACATTGCTTGGAGTACCTTTGTTCTTTTCCATGTCAATGTTTTTGCCGCAAACTTGTCCACCATGTTCCTGAGCATGTTTCTGTCACATTGACTACATTTTTGTTCTCTCTAATGTAGTTTTCAGCTCTAGTAATACTTTTTCCTTTTTCTTTGATATCATTCAGCCCATTTTTCCAACTCCTGCTGCTGATTAATAATCCTTTATTTTAAACCTTATATATTTTGTTTAAATTCATATTTTTAGTTTTTAAAGCCTTTTGTTTGCATTTTTTCTCAAATATGGATGTGCTTTGTTTCTTAACTTTTCCTTTGTTTCCTTGGACAAATTATCTTGTAATTGTTATTCTTCTATTACATTAAAGAACTGTTGTTATATACTGATGTGTCTCTGTTCTCTACCACACCTCCTTGCTATTTTTGGCAGAATTTAAGCATGGGCACCATCCTGATTACTTTCTGGTTAATACTCACCTTTTAATCATATCAACTTTTAGCTGAAGGCCAATAAGTATATGTGAAGATGGTGAGCTGGGACAATTATAGCTTTCATTTTGATTTGTCATTTCAAATATCCTTCCCCAAGAAAATCTGCCATTTTGTTTGCTCTGGGATCTAGCTCTTACAGGTTTTCAGCAATTGTTGGGGTGACTTACAGTGGATCCCCTTACATCACAAGTCTTCTGGTTGCTTCTCCATCTTTCTCTACATGCATCCTTAATTGGAGGTCTCCTCACTTGGGTGACTAGATGCCCAACAAGGGCACATGTTCACATGTTTAGAAAGTTCGAGCAAGAGACTTTGATTCAAGTGAGCCTGGTTGAAACTGTGTCTAACTCAAGAGCACATGCTATTAACAGGGAGCAGCTAGTCTTCCACTAAGACTATTGGTGGCCTTGGGAGAGTGGATTGCCAGAACTTTGTATTTTCCCAAAGAATCCAGAAATCCGAGATTTTATGTGAGCTCACCATAAAAGTGAGCAAGCAATAAAAAAACAGAACAGAAAATACAAACTAATTAGGTCAAATAAAATATGTTGATGGACCACATTCAGCCCAAGAGCCCTTCATTAGAACTGCTACTGAAGATGAAAAATTCCCGTTACGATGGTTTCTCCTATAGCACTCCCTTGTCTACCATCCTGTGATTACCAACAGGTCTTCAGAAGGATACTGATGATTGCTGCTCCCATGGTGGGCCCATGCACCCAGGTGCCATACTCTAGATCCAGAATCTGCTTGTATTGCTGTGATCTTCTCTTAGGGCAATTTCTCTCCTGCTTGAGGACTGAGGAGGGATGCGGCTGGTTTTAGATTTCTTGAAGGTTCATATCATGGTTTGCATTTGGTGTTTGACAGTTTGCTCTCAGCTGAAGATGGTAACTTCAAACTTTTTCTTTTTTATTGTTAATGTTTTAATTAATTTTGAAATAAGGACCCAAGGGAAAAGATGCCTGCTGTATTTTTTGTTTTGTTTTTCTCAATGACCTCTGTTTTTAAGATCCTACTTCAATTTCTGCATTTTTAATGACTGCTCCTCAACTGTCCTCAAGCAATAAAGTCCAGGAGTTTGTTCCTTATTGTTGAAATCTATTTATTATAAAGCTGATTATGTGAGATAAGAATGAGCCTTTCCTACAGGCAAAGGAGGCAGCTATATATGCAGATGGATTTCAGGAGAACTAAAAAAGCCCCAAAGCTCCCCTTAGCTACTCACCAATTCCTCTCCCACAACTCTCCAGCTTCATTAGTGTGAAAATCTCTCCCTGCCTTCATTTCTTTGACTTTTTATTCTTTTGTAAAATGCTGAGACCTCTATGAAGATATAGCAATAAGATTTATCTATTGCTTATTCTTTTGAAGGGTAAGCTTGTTAGATCCTTTCCTGAGAGCAAGTTTTGAAAGTTGAAAGAAGGAACATAGATATCCTGAGTCCAGGAAATATGTATTTGTAAAAATATGGGGGTGCAGAAGACCCACAAAGGGGAAGTAAAATGATAAACCTCACACAGTGAGACAGGAGTTCAGAAGGTTTGGCTGAATTTTTAAAAGAAAAGATGTTTATGCTGACCAGCAAGATTAGGGAGTTTGATGAGATGCTTACCAGGTGAATGAAACCTGCAGCAGTGAACCAGGTACTGAGGACTATTGATAACAGTTTGGAAAACTTCACTGCATTGCTAGAGGAAGAAAGACAAAAAACTGTCGGGTTCTGACAGGTTCCAGAAAAACACAATACCCCATCCTCTAAAATCTGGCTACTCTTCTGTGCCAGAAGCAATGGTACGCTTACCTGGGAGCATTATTAGAAATTCAGGATCCCAGACCCCACCCCTGATCTATAGATCTACATCCTCTACTTGATTCATATACACATTAGAGTCAGAGATGCCCAGCTCTTAACATAGCCAGTGACACACACTTGTTCAAAATCTTTACACGTTGCTATGACATTCACTAGCCTGATATTAGATTGTTTTTAAAAATATAAGTGTATCATCATAGAATAAATTTGATAGATTTCTACATTGTCTAAAGTAACTACAAAGTGCAGTGTCCTAGGAATCCAGAGAATGGGTTTGCAAAATGGAATTTTGAGAAGATCACAGAAATGACTTATATTGCTAAACTCATACCAGGATCTTTGAGTGAAGGGGATCAGATAAACTCCTGTTTCCTAAGTAAAGCTCTAGAGTTTAGTTGAAATTTCTATGGTTTTCAGGTAGGGCCACCTGTTACACAAGAACAGCCCAGTCCCGACTGCTTCATAAACCATGAACACTTAGCAGTGAAATCCAACTGGCCTATAAAATTTGATGCTTCTAGGGAGAACATAGAGACATGGAGATTTTCAGTGGGTAACATTAAACCAAACTGCTTAAAACTTTAGAAGTATTGCTGCTCAAGAGAGTTTGGATTTTTTTTTTTTTTTGAGACATTTAGGTGGCTCTATTTTTGTAAGCAGTTTCACGGCTGCTACTGGGTACCTCATGCTCAGAGAAATTGGTCTTATATTCCTAGACAGAAGAGATGTGATTCATGATAGCAAGTATGTAGAACCAAAGTCTCTGAATTACTTTTAAAATTTTTTTGAGGGGAGATGCAGAATTAAAGTCTAAATGGACTTGTACATCGTAGCTCTGCAAAACAAAGAAGAAACAAACTCTTTCAAGTGATGGCAAAGTTCTCAGCCAGTATATGATGTTAATACAATGAGAGTGAGTGAGTGAATAGTATCATGGGAGCTAAGGGATTTCATGGGATTTGCACTGAAATTCTGATGGGAAATGAGTTGAAGGTTCAGTTTACATTTTAATTTCCTAATCCAAACCAGGAAGTAAGCAGGACTTAAGGCAGGGCTAGCATTTACCTGGTTCTGATGGCTTGGAGAATTTGCAGGATTTGAGGGAGTTCTAGCAGCCGCAAAGCTCTTAAGAACCGTAAACCTACAAAGCAATCAAAAGGAGAAATCTGCCAAAAGGAGAGGGTCACTTCAGGGAGCACTCTGTGTTATAATGCCTTTGGGACTATTTTTACTCTTCCTCTCCTAGAGATGCTCAAATACAACACACCAGAGGTTTAAGTGCATGACCTCTAGCTCAAATCCTGGCCCTGACACTAAAACAGCTATTGTAATCTAAAGCAGTTCCCTTAACTTCCGTAGTTCCTCATCTGCAAAATGGGAATTATAAGTACCTACCTCATAGGGCTGTTGAGCTAATAATATAAAGCCTGAGGAAGCATAGCTCACGTATAATAAACACTACTTAACATTTTACTCTATTGAACTCCTCTTTAGAACAGGCAATTACTCATAAACCACTTAAACTCCTGACTGTAGAATCTCTGCGATCTGCTCCTCAGTTTTTGCATGATGTTTTACTTTACATAGTTTGAGAATTGGGACCACAAGGAATATTTGATAGGTAATAGATAATAATATAAAATTCCATAAAACTGATAAAAGCCACATAATGCTCACGTGCTGTCCATGCATCCACATTAAAAACAAAATAATTAAATAAATCTCTAACAGCCTGTCCGGAAAGGATGATTTAGAGCTTTTCAAGACCCAGGGAGGTTTTTCATCTCTTCCAGTCCCTGTGGGATTCCAGCATAGAGGGGCTGCAGGGGGATGGGATGATTGGGCCTTGCCTCTCAGGCTGTGGATGAGTCAGTCCATAAACAATAAACAGCTACTGTCACCTACCCTGTATCAGGTATATCACCAGGTACTGAGTTTAAAAAAAAATAAGTTCTGAAAATATATTACAAAACCATATAATCACGACGATAAATTTTTTAAACGGCATTTAGGCTTTAAAGGAAAATGAAGGGTACTTACGAGTGAACATGGAGGATTTTTTTTTTTTTTTAGAAATTGCTCCTGATTCCCACAACACACTTACCTAGCCAATTACTCTTCAAATAATAAGAAATAAAGGTTGGTGGAATGGTAAAGATGTCTACAATTGAATTCATCTCCAACCAGAACTTGATCTTGTCATCGGCTGCCACAAACTATGAAACAGAAACAAAAGACTCCAAATTCTGTTACCCTCGACAATTTTAAAATGAACATAAGAGTGGCTTTATTCAGCTACATTTCACTTATCCAGTGAGGCTTTGATCTCCTTCTATTAGAAACATACTTTTAGTGGGTGTTCAATAAATGAACATGAACCCATTTTACTCACCAGATCTTAACTCTCACACTTCAGAATAAACACTTTGACCTTCCTGCTGCTCCTAGAACTTTCTGATTTATATAATTGCATAGATAAAGCCTCCTATTTGTGAGCAATGAAGATTTAGGATGGCCTTCAGTGGAAAAAGCACAACTATCTAGAAACTTGGCTGGCCAAACCACGTGTCGGAGCTTCCCTATTTAGATTAAGAAAGTAAGCATTTCCAGAGGGAGGTTACTCTAAAAAGATTTTGATGGTCAGAGTTAGGTTTTGATGGAAGGTCATAAAAATACAGACCATATACACACACACACATTATATATGTCTATATACACATATACATACATATATACACTTGTATGTGTGTATACACACACACACACAGTCTCTCCCATAAACATGGCATGGATAAATACAATGAAATCTAGATCTAGGATGGATCCTCAATAAATTCCTGTGGAACGAGAGAACTATTTAATAAATGAGTATAACAAAAATGAAACAAAGATATGCAAAAATTTTATACAGTTATATGGCACATATGCCATCAGTGGAACCAATGACATTTTCAGAGGCTATTACTCAGGTTTGCTAGCTTGTGGTTATTAGCAAAGCTTTTTTGGTGGTAGGTGGGAAGCCAATAAGGAGGACAGCATGACAGGATGATGATATTTAAAAAGGAATCATTCTCATTTGCATTGGGATTTTTGGCCAAGATACAGTTTCAAGGGCAAGAGAGAGTTTTCATGCCTCTTTATACATTGGACAATTTAGGGCACAGACCCTCTAGTTTTAGAGCCTGAAAACAAAGGCAGATAGTACAACGAAGACACACATAGACCTCTTTGAGTGGCACCTGTTGTGTTCATCTGTTTACTCACTCTTTCCATAGATACTTACTCTCAACCCAAAATAGAAACTAAAGAACACATTGAAAGTCAAGTCAATAGGGATGGTTTTGTCTTCATATGAAGAACAGCTTCCAACTGGGCTGGAAAAGAAACAAGAGCAATGTATAAAGATGTACATTTTAAAAGCTCTGACTATACAAGACCAAATGAAGACAAAGAGTAGTCAGTGTTCTATTTATTCACCATAACTGGTTAGTCCAAGACACTTAAATTCACATCATAAGGAAATTACTTTTCTCTTGGGAGGAGAAGTATGCACAAACAAAACCATGGACTGCACATGGAGCTGAAAATAACAAGGCAATTACCTGTTCTTCCTTTCACAGAGCTTATTGGTTCTGTTTCTGCTTTATCAATGAGGATTCAGGAGCATAGAGATTATGTGGCTCCTCTTGGTTTGCAAAACCATCTACCTACCCAGGACATTTTGGCTTCTGTACTCCTCTGATACAGAGCTACTCTAAGTCAAATGGATTGATCTGATCCAAATTTAAGGAAAATTTCCTAAAAGATCAGTAAGGAGTTCACAGAACAAAGGCTGTTAGTTTCCCTAGTCTTTCTAAAATAGCCTGACTTCAGTGGCCCTGTAATCCTAATTTTACTTTAGCTGGAAATCCAATGTAATTCCTAGCTAGCTGATCAGTGTGGAGTTCAGATTAGATTGGGTTGTGTCCAAGAAACTGTTCTAGCTTGGGCATAGAAGAAGAGAATGGCTTTAGAGAAGAGCAGACAATAATGTGCTCCTTTATCCCAGGTGAGGTCTAGCATTTTCCTTTCTCAAAAGCATCCAAAGTTGTTTGAAACCTATGAGAAACTCTAAAACAACTACAGAACTTCTGTTTCAACACTTAAGGACTCCAAAGGCATAGAACACCCTCCTCAGTGGAGACCAAGGGTGGAGACCACAGCTGGAGGCTTCTAGTCTCTGAGACTCTCGAATAGACCTGTGTGTAGCACCACAGCCCCTAGCAATTCATGATGACAGGATACAGGGGAAACTTGTGCAATTTTTTTGTGGAATTGGGTGTAGTGCTTCTTGGGTGGGGAACACTTATCCTTTTTTATGAGTTTGTGTGTGGGTATGTCTAAAAGCATGTTAAGCATTATTCCTGACAGAAAATTCCAAATTAGCTGGCAACCTACTGACACAGCAGGCAAGGGTGACTGGGGATTTTACTCACTCAGAGGAGTTGATGAAATAGATTATTAGAGACCCAATGCTTAGTACAAATACAAGGATCACCTGGAAAGAAAGAAAAAAAAAAAACACGGCCAATGTGCAAGTCATTTTACTGACATATAGAATAAACCAACCAACAAAATTGTTTTCTCTTTTAACCTTGCCTATGTGTATGTAGCCATTTTTCACACATTCATTTATGTTAGCATTCATTCATTCATTCATTCATTCATTCATTCATTCAAGAAAAAATGATTGGACCTTTACTGGGTATTCAATAAATGACATACACCCACTCATTTTACTTATATAATTTAAATTCCCACATACTTTAGTATAAACAGCTTGTCCCTCCATCTGCTCAAGAAGTCCTATCATTTATTCATTCCTTCACTCATCAAACATTTATGAAGTGCTTAATATGTGTTATATACTGTATTACATGCTGGGAATGAGGGCTATTGGATATAGGCTCTGGACTTGAATTGCCTATGATACTGTAGAAGAAACAATTCCAACAAGTCCATCTAAAGGATAGTCAGGATTTTGACAGGATGGGATGTGCTGAAGTGAGGAAAAGAAAACAAGTGCTTTTAACACGGCAATGTGCTTGGTTTGTCAATGTAATCAGAAGCTTACCCCTTCAAAACCATCAAGGCATTTGAATAAAATCTTTTGCAGCCTCCATGACTTTTCAGGTCACCTTAAAGTAAAGGGGATAAGAAATGAAAGGGGAGCGGGGAGAAGGGTTGCAGTGGGGATAATACTCATAAGGGTCCCATTTTGCAGTTCCCTTGAATTGGGTAGAAACATGTTCTTGAACTGGTTGGTCACAACTCTTTTCTCAGTACACCTCATATGCCATTATTCTGCTGGGACCCGTACCACTCCAGATGCCTACTTGAGCAGGTAAGAGAAAATTCTCACATGTGACCCAAATCTGGCCACTGGAACAACTCAAGCATTCTTTGCCTCAACAGATAGTGGAAGGTCAGATTACCTTCAGTGTGACAACTTCTGCATAGAGCAGCTAGCTCAAAGGCCCCTTATCACAAATGAGCCAGAAGTCAGTCCTCTGTGTCCCCAGCGTTCCAAGAGATGCAAACTGAAAATTCTGAGTGATACCTCTTAAGCCTCTTTCCCTAGGCTTGACATGAGACAAAAGCACTCCCACACCTCTGCCACACAGAACTTGTTCTAAAAATCCTCTTCTATTTCCAATTTCACTTAATTCTTTTAATGTTTTTATTTAAATTCCAGTTAGTTAACATACAGTGTAACATTAGTTTCAGATATGCAATATAGTGATTCAGCACTTTCATACATCACCCAGAGCTCATCACAAGTGCGTTCCTTAATCCTCATCACCTGTTTCACCCATCCCCCCACCCCACCTCCCCTCTGGTAACCATCAGTTTGTTCTTTATAGTTAAGAGTCTGTTTCTTGGTTTGCCTCCTTCCCTTTTGTCCCCTTTGCTCACTTCTTTTGTTTTTTAAATTCCACATATGAGTGAAATCATATGGTATTTGTCTTTCTCTGACTCATTTACTTTGCTTAGCATAATACCCTCTAGTTCCATCCATGTTGTGGCAAATGGCAAGATTTCATTCTTCTTTATGGCCGAGTAAATATATACTACATATATACTACATCTTCTTTATCTGTTCATCAGTTGATGGGCACTTGGACTATTTCCATAATTTGGCTATAGTAGATAATGCTGCTAAAACAATGGGGTACATGTATCCCTTTGAATTTTTTTTTTTTTTTTTGGTAAATACCTAGTAGTGCAATTGCTGGGTCATAGGGTAGCTCTATTTTTAACTTTCTGAGGAAACTCCATGCTGCTTTCTAGAGTCGCTGCACCATCTGCATTCCCACCAGGAGAGTAAGAGGGTTCCCGTCTCCAGATCCTTGCCAGCACCTGTTGTTCCTCATGTTGTTGATTTTAGGCATTCTGACAGTTGTGAGGTGATATTTCCTTGTTGTTTTGATTTGTATTTCCCTAATGATCAGTGATGTTGAGCATCTTTTCATGGGTCTGTTGGCCATCTGTGTCTTCTTTGAAAAAACTCATGTCTTCTGCCCATTTTTAAATTGGGTTATTTGTTTTTCAGCTGTTGAGTTTTATAAGTTCTTTAAATCACTCACCATGATCAAGTGGGATTTATTCCTGGGTTACAAGGGTGGCTCAATATTCAAAATCAACCAACATAACATACCACATTAATAAAAGAAAGGATAAGGACCGTAAGATTATTTCAATAGATGCAAAGCAAAACAAAACAAAAAAGCATTTGACCAAGTAAAATATCCATTCATGATAAAAAAAAAAAACCAAAAAAACAAAGTAGGTTTAGAGGGAACATACCTCAACATAATAAAGGTCATATATGAAAAACCCACAGCTAATATCATCCTCAAAGGGGTAAAACTGAGTACTTTTCCTCTATGGTCAGGAACAAGACAGGGATGTCCACTCTCAGCACTGTGATTTAACATAGTATTGAAGTTCTAGCCTCAGCAATCAGACAACAAAAAGAAATAAAAGGCATCCAAATTGGCAAGGAAGAAGTAAAATTTTCACTATTTGCAGATGACATGATATTCTATATTAAAAAAAAACCCAAAAGACGCCACCCAAAAGCTCCTAAAACTGATAAATTCTGTAAAGTCACAGGATACAAAACCAGTGCACAGAAATCTATTGCATTTCTATACACCAATAATGAAGCAGCAGAAAGAGAAATTAAGGAATCAGTCCCATTTACAATTTCACCAAAAACAGTAAGATATCTAGGAATAAACCTAAATAGGTAAAAGACCTGGACTCTGAAAACTATAAAATACTGTTGAAAGAAATTGATGACAACACAAAGAAATGGAAAACCATTCCATGCCCATGGATTGTAAGAACAAATATTGTTAAAATGTCTATACTACCAAAGGAATCTATACATTTAATGCAATCCCTATCAAAACACCAACAGCATTTTTCACAGAAATAGAATAAACAATCCTAAAATTTGTATGGAACCACAAAAGACTCAACAGTCAAAACAACCTTGAAAAAGCAAAGCAAAGCTGGAGGCATCACAGTTCTGGACTTCAAGTTGTATTACAAAGCTGTAGTAATCAAAAAGTACTGGCACAAAAAAAGACACATAGATCAATGGAACAAAATAGAAAACCCAGAAATGAACCCACAACTATATAGTAAATTAGTCTTCAACAAAGCAGGAAAGAATATCCAATGGAAATTCTCTTCAACAAATGATGTTGGGAAAACTGGACAGCAACATGCAAAAGAATGAAACTGGACCCATTTCTTACACAAAAATAAATTCAAAATAGATTAAAGACCTGATTGTGAAACTTGAAACCATAAAAATCATAAGGAGAACACAAGCAGTAACCTTTCTGGTTTTTTTTTTTTTTCCCAAGCAGTAACCTTTCTGATATAGGCCATAGCAACTTCTTTCTAGATATGACTCTGGAAGAAAGGGAAACAAAAGCAAAAGTAAACTGTTTGGACTTCATCAAAATAAAAAGTTTCTGCACAGCGAAGGAAATAATCAATAAAACTAAAAGGCAACCTGCAGAATGGGAGAAATATTTGCGAATGATATATCTAAAAAAATGTTATTTTCCAAAATACATAAAGAACTAACTTACCCTAATTTACATGTGATTGGGTAAGAGGCTAAGAGCTTCAACTTGTTTTCTTCCAATTGCTTTGTAAGTGGCAATGTTGCAGTTTACTTAACACCTGACAGTTACTGGCATCTATTTCTTTGGGCTCTCAGCTCTCACTGTAAGTTCCATTTTAATATCTACATTAAATGTTGATAGAGATATTACTAAGTTTGTGGGTCTAACAGCAGTTAGAAATGTATTTTGCAGCTCAAGACAGATGTTGGGAGTGGATATGTGGAGATTATATACATATATCTCAGTATTGATAGTTATTAATAGTTTCATGAAATATTTTTCTGTTCTTTACACATGATATTTTTCTCTTACTAAGTGATTCTTCAAGTATAAATCATATACTGACAGGCTTCCAGAAAGATGATGGCAATCCTCCAAACCACAGAAATTACACACCCTCCTCTGAAAAAGATATAATTTTAGTTTCATTGAAACTAAGAACAATACCAACCTCATGCCACAAACCAAAAGAATATTATCCAGAAATAATATATAACAAACAGAAAAATGTATACCCAACCAAAAGCAGGCACTGGGAGCTAGCAGCTTATGAACACTGCTCAGTGAGTCAGGCAAAAATTGGAGGAAATTCCAAGAGGACATGTAAATTTCCCTTGGGTTGGGGAGGCAAAATCTGGAAGCAATGGCTGTTTGGGGGTGGATGGTGGGGGGTGTGGGTAGAAAGCCCTCCACCTGAGCCCATACACTGAAGATAAAGCCACAAAGCCAGAGGGACCTGCGGGAGACTGCCACCACACCGCTGCTGATGGGGGACCACTTGGCTAGCAGCATCAACACTACTCTTCCCAGAAGCACCTGGGAAAGCAGTCAGAGAAATAAACTGAAAAACATGAGACCTGGCCCAGAGAAAGCCTTGTTTGTGGAGTTGTTGGCCATAGCATTATCCCCTGTGTTTGTCTGTGTGGAAAAACAGCCAGTAAATTGGGACAGATTTCCACAGTGGGGCTTAAAACTGCCCATTTAGTAGGTAGCTAATTATGTGTGTATCTACAGAACACAACAGCAGCCAACACAGTAAACAAGGAACACTGAATACTCTAAACCTTCATTTATGAATATTAGCAGACAACAGAAAATGCCATATACATGGAAAGTGTAAGAAAATAGGCTCAAGGGCGCCTGAGTGGCTCAGATGGTTAAGTGTCTGCCTTTGGCTCAGGTCATGATCCCAGGGTCCTGGGATCGAGTCCCGCGTCGGGCTCTCTGCTCCTTGGGAGCCTGCTTCTCCCTCTGCCTCTCTCTCTGTCTCTCATGAATCAATCAATCAATCAATCAATCTTAAAAAAAAAAGAAAATAGGCTCAAGCAGAGAAGAGAGATAAAATGACCTC